CGATCCATCAGTGGTTACACTTTCACAGTTTTTCCATAAAACATTGCTTTTATTAAAGAAGTCCTTTACTGGTACAGCACCCAGCGCAGTCTCAGCTGAGCCCTCTAAGGCAGGTAATAAGGAGGGATGAGCCTGGGGGCCTCTCTGCTGAGATTTTTCAGGGGAAGCCAGTGGGTGCCCCCGCCCCTGCCGGCTGTTGGGAACGGAGCCAACGGCTCCTCACTGAAGTGGCCTCGTGACGTAATTCATCTGAATCATGGCCCCGTTTCCTTCCCAAGTGACCTGGAGCCCAGCTGGCACAACCGGTGGGCAGCAGGAAGTGAAATTGACATCAGGCTGAGGAGGTCTGCCAGCGAATCGCCTTGGGAAAGGATACACCTGCTCGTCTCAGATCAAAGGGGGCAGGTGGGGAAAGCTAACGCTGGCCAGAGGGCTCTTAGTTCCAGGAGCTTCTTGGCCCCGTGCTCATGAGCTAGGGCACAGAGCAGGGTGGGGTGCTGGAGTCACCCAAACGCTGACACTGACCCTGGGCACATAGGGCTACGATTGACTCCAGGGATGGAGAAGGCAATGCAGGACTCAGCCGAGGGGATCAGCCCGGTGGCCCGTTCAGTCCAGAAGACACCAATGGCCCATCCTCCCAGAGGAGACTCATGGTCCATCTGGCCTAGAAGAGACCCACCCAGGGTCCATCCAGCCCCGTAGCCCGTCTCCAGCAGTGGCCAGGGTTGGATGTGGTCATGGAAAATGAAGCACGGAGGAGGGGTGCCTAGCGGGCTGCCATCCTCATATGTTTCATGGCCATTAAGGCAAAGCTGTTGCGGTCCATGGGGGCTGTTGGTGGAAATCCAGCAGTTATTTAGGTGCCCAAGAATGGATCTAGGGGCCTCCTAGACTATGTCCTGACTGCACCAAGAAAGCAAATCTGGGTGATCAGTCTCCATGCTCCAGGCCCGACACCAGCTGTGGGGGTCAGGAAGCTGCCTGCGGGGGTTAGTGTTGCATCGGCAGCATCAGGCTAGAGGGACCATAGGCTGGCAGCCCAGAAATTCTGGGCTGGGGCCGCCACAACTTCTAGCTAAGGTATCTAGGTGAGTTCCCTCACCTTCCCTGAGGCTCCCCCATGAGGCAGGGCAGGGCTATTATCCCTGTTGTACACGTGGGGAAACTGAGGCACGGAGAGACTAAGTGATTTGCCCAAGGTCACCTGAAGCTTGTGGCAGAGCACGGATTTGAACCCAGGCCCCCTGAGTCCCACTATAGCCCCCCGTGACTCTGAACATCATCAGAACGCTCCTCGCCTGACTGTCCTTCACATGCTGGCGTCATTTGCCCGCCCTGTGCCAACTCAAGGCGCAGCATGATGGAGAATCAGGCCCCTGGAGTGTTTCCCAGGGAACTTTCCTGTTTCAGGCCAGAGAGGAACCCTCCTGCCAAAGCCACTGGCTGGGAGATGCTACATCTGGATCTCCTCTGACAGGGTGGAGTGGGACGATTTTTCACTGCCAAGGCCTGAGCTCACCAGGCAGCAGGTCCCAGGGCTGACGTCCACACCAGCTGTTTGTGCACCAGGCAGAGACAGCGGCATCGAGCTTCCTCCGCGCTGCCGCACCCGGGCGCGCTGCAGGCAGCCATAGGGCGACGACTCTCTCTGGAGATGAGTTCTATTCCCTCCCACCCAGCCTGCCAGCCACAGGGGACGCTTGCCCATTGAGACACCAAAGGCAAAGGCCACCAAACAACCATCAACCGGTGACAAATAGTAGCTATTGCTGTCCTAACCCAGCTTCGAACCAGTGACCTACTCACTAGCCTGAGCCGCTCCCACAAGCCATCCAGCCAACCCAGCCCTTGGCTGTTTTAGTCTCCAATTCCCCCCCATCACTGGCCAGAAAGGCCGGCCACCACGCTCCATCCAGTGGGAGTATCCCAGCTTTCCATACCAGGATACGCCCCGGCATTGAGGCCCGGATGCCACCCGACTCCAAGGCTCACTCGGCACATGGGTATCTGCGCCACTTCCCGCTGTTTTAGAAGAAGCCCCTGGAATTTACCCGGCCTCGCTACGGACTCCGATCAGGAGCTCTAGCTGCTGAAAATCAGGCCTCCAGCTGGGCACCCGAAACTCGAAGCGCCCAATGGAATGGGCGAATGGCTCACCCAGTGCTGAAATGCAGCCAGCTCTGGGGTGGGACGTGGCAGCTGGTTAGCAGCTACACTGCTTCCCGTTTAGGACAGGAAGTGAATCCGAGTGTGTTCCATGCCAGTGGCGCTGTGCATCTCCAGCAGCCTCTGGAGGGATCTAGGCCAGAGAGGTTGATGAGCCTGCTACGGGGTCAGCGAGGCGAGGTGGATTTGTTAGCTCACACACTGGATCCTGTGTATTAAGATCCCGAAGGCTCAGATTTCATTCCAGCAGGGAGCCCGGCATTACCCAATCCAGGTTGGAATTTGGCCAGGACCGGGTGGAGGCGGTTCTCATTCTTGAAAAAAGTTCCAGCGGATCTTGAAGGAGCGGGAGTGACCAGGTGCTTGGTTCTCCCTTTGGCCTGAAAGATGGCATCTCCAGCAGCCTGGTGCCCGGCACTGGGGTCAGCGCCGAGGCCAAGGGCTCCTTTCTGAGCGTCCCACGCTGTGGCCTGTCGCTCTGGGGCTTTCCTGAGCCGTCTCCCATCCGTGCCCCGACCCAGGCCTCTGGCGCGATCGACCAGGGACCCAGCGCCAGGAGATATGGACTCAGGGGTAACAAGGCTGGCGGTTCCCGTGGCTGGCCCATGGAAACCGCCTCTCTCCCCCACCCCTACCCATTTTAGCCGCCAGTGGCTCGGTGAGAGATCGCCAGAGGGGTGCGAATGGGGACAGACCGATCCCGGCACTTACCAGTTCAGGCGGGGGAAGGGGCTGGCAGGATGACGCCACCTGAAACAAGAAGCCAGAGGGGGTCAGTGCGGTGCGGGGACCCCAGCCGGGCAGCGTCCCCTGGAAATCTGTGCGGTGGCAGCCACCGGGACGCTTCCTCCACCCCCCTCCGGACGGGACGTCTCCTCCCCTGGGTTGGGGGCGGGGGGGCCCGTGAGGCGGGCTCTGTGCAGTGAGGAGGCTGGACCCCCTGGGCCGTGGGGAAGGGGTGTTTTTCTTGGCCCAGGCTGGCCCTTTCCAGCTTGGGCACACACAGAGGCCGCGATTCATGGCAGGGCCTGGGCGGCGGCGAGGCCGGAATGGCCGGGGGTGGGGGGAGGCTATATATAGAGAAACATAAACAGGCTGCACCCCACCCCGGGCTCGGGGCGCACAGTGAGCCCATTCAGCCCGGCCCCTACCTCACCTGCCCCCGGCCCCACCCCTCCCCCTCCGCCCTGGCTCCAGCCAGAGAGAAGGAAACAGACTTGGAGGGGGCCGGTGAGCCCTCCCCTGCCCCACACCCCCACCTCAGGGGGGCACCTGGCTGTGCCAAGGTTGCCTTTCCCATAATGCCTTGGTGGCTTTGACTAAAGGACGAGCTGAGCTCGCTGGGTCGATGGGGGGGGGGTCCATGCCGGAGTCTTGGGGGCAGAGCTGGTATTAAGGGGAGTACAATCCCCCCACCCACCCTCAGCCCCATGTGGGGCAAGGAGCTGCTACAGAAGATCTGCGTGTCCTGCTATGGGTACATCTAACCTCCACGCTAAGCCGGAGGCGGTGGCCGGGTCCTGGGCTTGTGGCCTCCGTGTTCCCTAGCCCCGTGCTTGAGTGTCCGCTCCGCCCTCCCGTCCACTGCCCCCCCCCAGTGCCAGCCTGCCCCCGCTGGAGTCAGCTCCTACATGCCCACGCCTCTCTGCCCTTCACCCACTCCCTCCTGCCCGGCTCCCCCTTGGCCCAGCTCCATGCTCCGAGCCCTTCGAGTATCCAGGAGAGTTTATTTATCTCCTGGCAGCCAGGAAACGGGAAGTGCTGGAGATCTTTATCACGCTCACATGGTCCTTACAGCCAGGGGCGGGGCTGTGTACCCAAGGGCCGTGGGGCACTAGCAGGCCTGGCTTAGGGAGCAGGGCCTGGCAATCCATCCCCCCTCCCCGCCTGTCCTGCCTCCTGCACGTCTCTGCCAAGCCACCTTGACACCCTGGGCACCGTCCTGGGAGCTGGCCAGACACGGGGCTCCCTGTCAGAGCTCACCCAACAACCGCGAGCGCCCCAGCAACTCCGTTTGGTGCCCGGGCTTAGGGCTGGGTTGGGAACTGGCGGAGGAGGGGGCGGGGAGACAAGCCAGGGGGATCGGATCAGTGAGGGACTCGGGGGGAGGTGGCGTGGGGAGCGCAGGCCAGGGGTGCAATGTTGGATTACAGAGGGGATTGGGGGGAGGTGGGATGGGGCATGCGGGCGGGTGGGGGGCGGGTTGGATCACAGAAGGGATCAGAGGGGGTGGGATGGGGACACGGGCTGGGGGGGCATGTTGGATCAATGAGGGGTTTGGGGGGAGAGGTGGGATGGGGATCGCAGGCCAAGAACCAGATCCGGGACGACTTTGCAGCAGCAGGGATGCACTGTAAGAACCTAAAGGGACCCCCAACCGCGCTCCATCCCCACACCTCTGCCCCTCACCCTCTGGGAGACAGGGCATGGCTACAGGATGAATTCCCCCGCCGTCCCCGTCCCCCCTGGGTTTGCAGCCAGACCCCCAGACCCCTCCGCTCGCTCCCCATGCCAGCTGGGTGCACATCAGCCGACAGAGGAGCCGGCCCCGGCGCAGGGAGAGGACAAGCCACGGCTGGCTGGGCGCTAGCTAGTGGGACCGGGGCCGGGCAGAGCCCCAGGCATCCCAGCCTTGGCAGTGCCACAGCCCCGCATGCCAGCACCGAGTACCAACAAGCCCCTAATTACAAGGCACGCAGAGGTCCCGCCAGGCAGGGAAGGTAGAATTAGGCAGGTGGGTTCTGCCAAGCCAGGGTCTCCCTGGGGCGACGTCCCGTGGCCAACACCAGATGTGTCACTGCTCCCCCCCAGCCCCATAAAACGCCTGGCGCGTCGTACAGAGGGGACTCCTTCCTGACCGCCCCGCGCCCTGGAGAATGAGACTGAATCAGCCAGGGGCCATAAATCTCTGTTAACCATGGTTGTAAAATTAGATGGGCCTTTTAACGAGCCAGCTGAGAGATTGAACTGAGTGCCACCCCGCGGCCCGCCCTCCCCGTGCAGCTGTGGGGCTGAGTGGCCAGGTACATTCCCCGCCCCCGGCTGGGCCTATACGCTCCCCCCGGAGCCATGGGGGTGGGGCACTTAGGCAGGAGAAAGACTATGGGTTGCCCCTTGCATAAGAAGAAAGAGACCACGTCCTCCCTCCCCTCCCCTTCCAACAGCTCTCCCCACCCACTCCTGGCCCCACACAGCCTCCAGGCTTTGAAACCCCTCCAGCCCCCCAGAGCAGCCTGCCGTCCCCAGGCCGTCTGCCTCGCCCTGCCCGAGCCCCTCGCTGAGCTGACCCTCTGGACCAGGGGTGGCCAACCTGAGCCCGAGAAGGAGCCAGAATTTACCAATGGACATTGCCAAAGAGCCACAGTAATACGTCAGCAGCCCCCCCATCAGCTCCCCCTTCCCTGCTCCCAGCGCCTCCCACCCGCCAGCAGCCTCGCGGATCAGCACCTCCCTCTCCCTCCTCTTCCCTCCCCATCAGCTGTTTCGTGGGGTGCAGGAGGCTCTGGGGGCTGGGGGAGGAGCGAGGGACGGGTAGGGCAGGCTCAGGGGAGGGGGCAGGAAGGGGTAGAGTGGGGGCAGGGCCTGTGGCAGAGCCAGGGGTTGAGCAGTGAGTTCCCCCACCCCCGGCACATTGGAAAGTTGGCACCTGTCGCTCCAGCCCTGGAGTCGGTGCCTATACAAGGAGCCGCATATTAATGTCTGAAGACAGGTTGGCCACCCTTGCTCTGGACTGAGCTCCCCTCGAGCCCCCCCTCCTGGCCTACACTCCCCATCCCTCTGAGTTCCGCACTGATCAGACCCCCCCCTGCCCCCGGCCTGCGCTCCCCTTCCCCCCAAGCCACACATTGATCTGACCCCTCCACTCTGTGCTCCCCACTGCCCCCCCAAATCCCTCACTGATCCGACCCTCTGAACCGCACACTGATCTGACATCCCCCGGCCTGTGCTCCTCACTGCCCCCCAAATCCCTCACTGATCCGACACCCCCTCCACCCCCCCAGCCTGCATTCCCCATCTAGGGTGACCAGACAGCAAGTGTGAAAAATCGGAACAGGGGGTGGAGGGTAATAGGAGCCTATGTAAGAAAAAGACCCAAAAATGGGGACTGTCCCTATAAAATCGGGACATCTGGTCACCCTATCCCCATCCCACCCCAGGAGCCCCTCACACATCCGATCTCCTTTCCTCTCCCTCCTTCTTCCTCCTCCTGCCTAGGCAATTGGTGCCCATCCCACCTTGGCACAAAAGCTATCTCCTCTGCGGCTCCTGCTAGCCACCTTGCATCCCTTCTGCAATCCTCTCCCTCACCCCCCGGCCTGTTAACTCCTCTCCTCTCCTCTCCTCTCCTCTCCCCTCCCCTCCTGCAGTTTCTGTCTGAACAACATTTGCTGTCCAGAGCAAAGTGTGTCGCACAAATCATCCTCAGTGCAAACTTCCTGCCCCCGCTCTGCCGCTCAGCTTCGGCCTGGGAAAACATCTGGCTCGGCCTGTGGGATGGAGAGGGGGCTGGGAGGTGGGAAAAGCACCGTAACCAGAAACTCTGGGAGAGAAGCAAGGGCCATGTGGAAAGGGGTCCCCCTGGCTGCTCCCCCAGCCCCACTTGGGGCCGCTTCCTACGAACAGGTGTTTGAAGAGCATGTTGCTTCTACCAACCACCACACTTCACCTCCCGCTCCCCGAAAGTCAGCTTGTAGGTGGGGAAACTGAGGCACAGAATGGGCATAGGTACTTGCCCACAGTCACTCTGTGTCAATAGCAGAGCGAGTGACGGAACCCAGGAGTCCTGGCTCCCTATTCCCCCCTGCTTTCTCCAACCATTAGAGCACACTCCCTCCCAGAGTTTGGGATAGAACTCAGGAGTCCTGGCCCCCAGCCCCCTTCATCTAACCACTAGACCCCACTCCCTCTCAGGGCAAGGAAACAGAGGAGTCCTGCTACCAGTCCTCTAAACACTAGATGATGCCTCAGTCTATAAACCCCCCCTCTCGCAAGGTGTCATCTCAGCGTAACATCACCTCTAAGGGACCCAGGCATCCGGAGAGCACTGAACGGAGATAACTTGCTGGGGCACGGTGCCCAGCCCTGCCCACCCTTTCCACGTAGCACGGCTCGGACCCCCCCCCCCCCCCCGGCACCTCCTGCCAGCTGATAAAGCCCCTGACAGAGACTCCTTGGGCAAAGCCCAGGGACAGCCAAAGGGACTGGCGAGATGAAGTCCTCTTAGCAATCAGGTCCTCCTCTGCCCTAGGCTGCCCCCTGGTGGAGGGGGCGGAGAGGGCCGATCAGAGGGGCGTCCTGTCCTGTCCTGTCCGCAGCGGAGCTTTACCTGGGGGTCAGCAGGGCAGGGTGACGCTGGTCTTTAGGATGCCGGGTTTCTCCATCCAGCTCTTCCCCGCATGGGGAGGCCCCCAATGCCCCCTCCAGTGCAGGATCTTCTCCGCTCCCTCTATCCTCTCCTCCCTCGCTCAGCCACTTCTCCCTTCTCCTTCCCCTCCTCTGACTCCGGCGCAGCCCTCCGCCCCTTGGACGGACGGACGGAGCAAAGAGCCCCGGAAAATCCCGGAGGAGAACCAGCGGCCTCCAGCTGCAGACGCTGGCCCAGGGCCAAGAAAAACTCCCAGCTCCGCGCAACCATAATTACACAACCAAGGCTTAAAGGGCCAGAGACGCCACC